AGAGAGAAAGAGAGAAAGACCAGGGACATGGGGCGTACTACCTTATTATGTGCATGATAGTATTACAACATGCAGCACGCAGTAGAAAGTTATGCACCTGCATACACTCGTGCGTAGTGGCCAAGGCTTCTTTTACGACCTATTTGGGGGTTTGTCCACGACGCAGGACCATATCTGTGCACCCTGAACCCGGTCGCTCGCCCGAGGCCGGTTCTTCGGTTGCCGTTCTTGGTGCGCACTAAGTAGCATCCTATAGTAATTAAGTGATTATTTGGACGGATGGTTCGCCGCAGATATACGTTATGACATGGGCTGCATACATGGCAGAAGTCCCAGAAAGGTATAGAGCCAACCAGTCTGGAAAAGCCGGGCGGACTAGGCGGTTTTGGGCGCAGCAGCAGCAGCAGCAGCATCAAGGTTATATCGACTTTTTAACGCTGGTCTTTTGTTGCTTATTTTTTTCTCTCTCTTTCCTTCGGCCAGTAGCGGGAGGTGGGTGACGGGAGAAGGGAGACGGGTGATGTGTGATGTGTAGTGATTGATCATGGCATGGATGGCAGGACGAGCGGGCGAGATGAGGAAAGGATGAAATGCATGCTGCTTCGCCTCTCTGACTTTGTCGGATCCTCCCAGGGTAAAGAAGGTAACGATGATAGTGATTGGCCCAGGCTGAAGGAGACAAGGAGAACGTTCAGAGCAGGTGGTGCGATTGGCTGGTCTGAGGGCCACAAGGCCGTGGAATGATGCATTGTCCAGTGTGTTGTCGTTCTTGTCAGTGCCATGATGATTATTGTGGGGAAGAAGAAGAAGAAGCAGCAGCAGCAGCAGCAGCAGCGGCGGCGTTAAGGTTGTTGATGTGTGCTAGCACTATGTATACATATACCTAGATGCTTATTACCACGACGGCTCTCAAGGATAAATTGCCATGTAGTAATGATATATGCCGTTCTCGGGCCGCCAGAAAGAGCAATGCGCCTACTTTTGGTGGTGGATGTGGTGGACGTGGTGGTTGTGGTGGTTTTGGTGGTGTTTTGTGGTGTTGAATGTTTAGGTGTATGGATCACGAGGTGGAGTGAATGTGATGGGATTCCTCCCTTTTGCTCACCTCCCTCCCCCCCCCCCTCCTAAATCCCCCCCAAATTCTTCCCCCCCGGAAAAAGCAGCAGCTGACAGCCCCGACGGTAGCCGCGATGCCCGCTTCGTGACAAGACTGCACCCCCCGTATTCTTGGCTCTCACCCAAGTATATACAGGCACATAGCAGTACTTTGTGTCCTGTACTGCCGCCCTGTCTCGGGGGGGTTGCAGCAGCTACTGTAGCTATTATACCTACCTACCTACCTACCTACTCATTACTACTACTGTGTGTGTCTTATAAACACAGTATGTAATTAGTATAGAAGTACGAGAGTCTATAGCTACTGTCTAGCTAACGTCTAAAGCTACTGTTACGACTGCAATTACTCCGTCAAAAGGATATAATAAAGGCTGTCAGTACTACCATAGCAGCAGTAATTAGTATCGACATCATTGCAGCAGTAAGTAATCCACAGTGTTGTTTGGCTGTCCTGTCATAATCACAGCTCGGAGCCATCTCCTGCACTGTCCAAGGTTCTGCCTCCGCCTTTGCGTCATTATTATCATTGTTCTCTTTCGGCAGAAAATACACGGTATAATTATACACACAACATACATGGTGCATGGACTGCCCACGCATCAATGCTGTGTTTTCGTCACACACACACTGACTGAAAGAAGTCCTTTCAAATTTGCGTCCATCAAGAGCAGCACACACTCATTCACACACACATTCACACACAGAGAGAGAGATAGAGGGAGAGAGAGAGAGAGAGTCTCCTCCTGATACCTTCAAGTTCCTTGTGCATCACCCAACCATCCTCATCCTACACAGTAGTAGAACAGTACCCCGCCATCATCGAACTTTCACTTTCTGATCTTTTCGCCTGCTTTCTCTCTCCTCCTCGTTCTCCTCCTATTATCCCGCCCGTCTCTCCTTACATCTTCTTCCTTTCCATCTGCTGCTTCTTGTCGTCCCCCGACACGGCTCGCGAGTCGAACACTCCGATCGCGAATTTGCCATTCCGAGTAAAGTCTCCTTCTCTGTCACTCGTCGCCCGCCCGACTAGCCCTTTATCGTTCCTGCAGCTCGTAAAGCTGTCTGTTTCGCCCTGGCACGAACCCTAATCCGGTTCGATTGGCCATTGAGAGAGAGAGCGCACCTCACTGTTCTCACCGCGAGCCACTCACTCTTATCCGACAATGTCGACCAAGCATTTCTTTGCCGAACCCAGAGCCCTCGTGCCACTGGCTCTGCAATCTTTCGTCCAGAGGCATCCCAATCTGGACTTAGATCCTGTCAACAGAGTCGTCTTTTCAAAATCCCATCAGCCCTCCCAGATTGCCATCATTTCTGGCGGGGGCAGTGGCCATGAACCAGCCTGGTCCGGCTACGTTGGCGATGGCATGTTGGCCGCTGCCGTGTGCGGTGATATCTTCGCCAGCCCTTCCACAAAGCAAATCATGGCCGGTATCCGAAGCGTCCCGTCAAATGTGGGCATCATTCTCTGCATAACAAACTACACAGGGGACAAGCTGCACTTTGGCCTGGCCCGCGAAAAGGGTCTCGCCCTCGGTCATCGTGTCGACGTTGTCAACATGTCGGAGGATGCTGCCTTGGGCAAGGAAAAGGCCGGTCTTGTCGGTCGACGAGGCCTCGCTGGCAATCTTCTAGGTACTGACCGCACAATCATCTGCCTCTATCATCCTTTTTCCCCCTCCTTGCACACCAGCTGACCATTGCTGAGATATCCACAGTCCTGAAACTTATTGGTGCTGCCAATCACCAAGCCTGGTCTTTTGATTCTGTCTTGAAACTGGGCAACTTGGGCAACTCCCACCTCGTCACCATCGGCACAAGCCTTGATCATTGTCACGTTCCAGGGAGGTCTCACCACGAGGCCGTCCCCGCAAACGCCTGCGTGCTGGGCATGGGTATCCACAACGAGCCAGTAATAAGCTTTGGCAATCCATCTACATGCATCTCATACCTGTACTGATCTTGCCCAGGGACTTCAAACAATCTCCCCTATTCCTAGCGCTGATTCCTTGGTCAAGCAGATGTATGCCCATCTTCTCGACCCGTCCGATCCAGACCGTGCCTTTGTCACCTTCAATCCCAAGGATGAAGTCGTCATGCTCATCAATAATTTCGGTGGCCTTTCCAACCTCGAATTGGAGGCTCTCGCCAACATTGCAGGGTTACAACTAGGTGCGCTCGCTCCTGCTTGCGCGTCTCGCCAATTATTGCCGTGCACTGACCCCAATCTGCAGAGGCCGACTGGGATCTGTTGCCGATCCGCATCTACGCCGGTACCTTTGAATCCTCACTAAATGGGCCTGGCTTTTCCATCACCGTGGGAAACCTGACAGGTATTGCACAAGCAATGGAACTGACTGTGTCTGACATTCTTCAATTGCTCGACGCCCCGACTACCGCTCCCGCCTGGCCCAAGAACAGCTATCTCTCTGCCAAGCCGTCCGAGGAATGTGCACGTTTGCGGGAGAAAGCCAAAGCTGACGCGCAAGCTGCCGCCAGCCAAGACCAGGGCCCTCCTGTGACTGCTAAAATCATTCGAGCTCTAACAGAGGCCTGCAAGCGCGCCCGTGCTGCTGAACCAGACATTACAAAATATGACATTCTGATGGGTGATGGCGATTGTGGTGAAGCTGTTGACATGGTTTGCAATTCCATACTCACAAAGCTGCACTCGGACCTGTCCCCGAACTCGCCGCTATTTTCCTTTCTTGAACAGGTGGGGGACTGTGTCGAGGACATGGGGGGCTCACTGGGTGCAATCTTGAGCATCTTCCTCACCGCCTTCTCCAGTCAATTGCGCCAAGCATATAGAAGCTCGTCTGACGTTTCCATCACCACAGTCTCGAAAACCATCGGCCCCGCTCTTGATGTGCTGAAGCAGTACACCTCCGCTAGAGTGGGGGATAGAACTGTGATGGACGCCCTGATCCCCTTCTGTGAGACCCTGCAACAGTCTGGAGAACTCGCCAAGTCGGTACAGGCTGCGCAACGTGGTGCTGACACGACCAAGGGTATGCGTGCGAAATTTGGCCGTGCTACCTACGTCGGCGATGAAAAGCTTGAATCCCAGTCAGACATACCGCCTGACCCAGGGGCTTATGCTGCCGCTGTCTTCCTGGGGGGCCTCTCTGCAGCTCTCTTGCAATAGACAATGCCGTATGATGCAATATTAACGCTGTGCGTGGGTCTGACATTAAAAGACATTGGATCGTCGTCGCCGCGGTTCCTGCTATTCATTCAAAGCGTTCATGATCGGCGCCAACTTGCGGCGCTCCCGCTTCGGTGTACGCCTTGTTAGCCCACCATTAATTAGCTGTGCATTCATAGTATCACCCACGAGCGAAGATCAACGACGTCAGTGTCGTACGGTTTTCACGTGTCCTCTTGTCCACCATGTTTGATAATTGTCAGAAGGATCCATGGCTTATTACTCTGGATTCCGCAGCGTGCCGGAATAATCTCTTGTCGAAGAACCCTTGTTCCTAGTACCCGAAAAATAAATGATGGATTGTACATAACTGTACACGGTCTGAAGGTAAATGGACAGCTTCTCTTCAAGCTTCGTACCAGCAAAACGGTCGCATGCATTATGGAGCCGGTGTTCGGTCAACTGGAGCTTTCGCATGACTTTCCAAACCTGCAAGGACAGGTATGCGAGTGCTGGCACGGAGCCCGTTCCGAGCTGGATGAAACCAACGTTGTTTCCGCCCTGATTCGGCCCTTTTCCAGCCACACCTCAACCATAATTATGTATTATACCGCGAAGTCCACGGCAGTTAGCTCCGCAAACTCCATAAGGCTAGCGACCGCTCGAAGCTCTTCGCCGCCACGCGAGTATTGCCAAACAGGATCGTATGCGGTGATGCGCCGATGCGTCGTAGGATGAATCCCATGAACAAGTTGGTCAACGGCGAATTTGGGGGCATTCGAAATGCTTCTCGGAAGCGGAGAAGCTCAAAAAGACACGGCTTGTATATGCGAATTCAGTTGCTACTAGAAACGGTGAATGCAAGTGAGCATTGCCGTGGTATTACTGTGTACTATGGTGTATGTATTGCGAGCAAAGACAGCAACGCGTGAGAGACGGACATTAGCATCCCACGCCATCACGATGGCTTACATGACGCGGATCCTAAAATCCGATCTTGCGATGGCGAACTGAGGAGAGGAACAGGTGCCGCGTCAGACCGGTCTTCCCAGCGATAGGAGGACAGGAGTGTTCACCGTCGAGAGATTGACGAGTTGGAGCTTGTTTTGAATAGGATGCAGAAGTCTAATCGCACTGACTCGCTGCTAGCGCGAGCTGCGGATAAACTTCGGATGTGCACCCCTAGACTAAGGATCGGTGGCGTCTGCCTGCGCCTCTTTGCATCCACTCCACCACCACGTCGATCGAGTTTCTTCATGAACTCTAATTAGTCTCGACATAGAAAACACCCTCCTGTCAATCTCACTGCTTTCGTCCAATGATGGCCAGCACATTCTCACCCGAAACTCATGCGACGGCTTACCGGCCGAACCTAAATGTCCCCGGAGATCTCTCGCAGCAGCCGCCATCATACGCCACAACACCATAACGAAGTCTTACCACAATCGTATTCCTTGAGTCGTGCGAGATCTCGGCATACGAACGCGGCAAAGATGTCTACGATGTCGTGGGCCATCGCTTGAATGATACGTGCGCGACCGTGTACACAACAACTCCAAACCCACACATACCGCTGATCACCCCAAACCCCATCAGGTATTTCGGCTTGTCGTCCGATGGAAACAAGTACGCGCCATAGATTTGAGCCAGATTTCCCATGGCATTGACGAAGGCCAAGCTGACTGCGCGGACTTCTTGCTGCAGTGGGCCAAACGTGCTGCCCGCGTAGGACAGCGCCAATCCATTTGACGCCCAGAGCCCAGCAGCCATGATTACCAGCAGTGCATACCGAGCTGTGAAGTCATAGACAACACATACAACGATGCTACACACCATGCTAAGGGCAAGCCAGCTCGCGATTACTACTCCTCGGTATTCTGTAATCCGGTCCCCAAAGTATCCTGTGAAACCGACTGCGACGAATGCTACCGCATAGATGGGAACCGTCATATACTGCGCCATATGCGACGTATATCCCAGGCCTTCAACCAAGGTTGGGTAAAAGTATGAAAGAGTCGAGGACCCAACGATGACCTCTATGGCATTAGCATTATGTCTGGAACCAAACCATTTGGAAGATGTACCATGTAGCCTAAGGTGAGGACCCAAGTTCTCCAATTCTTCAACGATATGACGGTTGCTTGCATTGAGCTAACCTTTGGGCTGCTATTTCCGGTCGTAGCCGTTACGTTGTCCCTCTGTAATCTCTCGGTCGCCAGAAGTCTTTCACGCGCAGAGAACTTCTTTGTGGTACTGGGAAAGTCGAGAAGAATGAAGTGTGCGATAATGGCCCAGCTGATAGTCGCAGCTCCTTCAACAATCTTTTAAAGTCAATCAGTCCATGTCGAATAATCATCCGCCTCGAAGATGATACTTACGAATAACCAGCGCCACCCTTCTATCCCATGCGCACCGTCGAGACCCTGTGTTATGGCACCACCCAGAAGACCACCAAAGGCTCCGGATAATACAGCTGCAGAGATATAGGCCGCAAATCGCTTCGACATTTCGTTCTTCTTGTACCATGACGATAAGATCATCAGTACTCCGGGTGCAAAACCAGCTTCCAGTAAACCGACGATCAGGCGCAAAGCGATGAGATGCTTGTAAGATGTAGCAGCTGCCATACAACAAGTCACGATGCCCCAGAGAATCATAGTGACCGGCAGGAATACGGACGGCCGTGTCTTGGCCAGGACAAGGTTTGAGGGAATTTCGAAACAGACGTACGTGACGAAGAAGACTACCAACATTATCGAATACTGGCTGGAAGAAAGCCTCAGATCTGCTTCCATGCCCGCAATCTTGGCGTTGCCAATGCTGGAGCTGTTAGCATACATGCCGTTAGGGGCCCCGCTGTTTCTTACTTTGTTCGATCCATATACGACAATAGATACATCAGCCAAATCGTTGGTAGCAGATACAGATCGACCTTCCTCACAAGCCGTCTCTCCTCTTCTATACGCTCTACGCAAATCTCGGAAGCATTTAGCTTGCCGTCTGGCGGCGCTACTTCGACATGTTCAAAACTGCTCGATGTCATTTTATTAGTCGCCATACTGCAACGACGGACATCTAACACAGAAGTCTGGTTGAAATTTGGAATTCAGTCGATGAAGAGATGAGCGACGCGTTTGAATAACAGCAGAAACGGCATAAGGCTGGACGCCCGGGAAATACAGCATTGCAAAGCTCAATGAGACTCATTTCCGAGCATGTCTGGCACACCCTCTGTACACCGGTACTCAATCCAGCAAATCAAGTTACGCAACGAGCCCTTTACAACACCCTTTGGATGAATACATCCCCCGGACATCGTTCCGTAGTAAGCTCTACGGCATCGAGGACGACTCCTCCGGGTTCTCAGCCCGCTTCCCCGCAACGTACGATACCTGGGGCCAAATGAAACTCCAGATTACCTACTCTTCCTGACTCGATATAGCGTCGGCGTGCATGCCGTGCGATCACACACCGTGCATGAACACGAAGTACTCCGCGACAGGACAACAAGTCAGCAAGCTAGCATAGCATTGTGACCTCGACTCGGGGAACCGCTCATCCTAGCGTGCTACGGCTGGGTCCCACATGGCCCCACCCAATCAGCGGCTCGCTTGCGGGAGCTTCCGCAGCCCCCGTCTCGAGGCTCCCGCAGCTATTGATGCGTAGCTGCAGAGCGCGTGCAACGGGAATCGTGAGCCTTGAGATCGGGAACAATGTGTCGCAAGTAGGCTTCATTGCCAGGGCAAATGAGATAATAAGTGATGGTGAGAATCAATACAACCCCATTGCTAAACAGTGGAGTTTTATTTTTTTTCGGTCAACAACAGGGCGAGACTCCACGGGCGTCTGTCCAAGGTATACCTTGATTCGTCTGGAGAAAGAGGCAGATGTTGGCCTCGGATGTGAGCTCCCAGTAGATATTAGTGGCGGAAGTGACGGAGGTGACAGTGAGCGGAAGCTGGCGCGATTGTCAATGATTTGACTGCCGGAACTGGAGCGACGACGCATAAAGAGAGCCGGATGGTCTCGATAGTAATGCTTTTCGTCTGTTTGCATTCCCTTTGCCATCCTGTTGCGGTATTATCAGATACATAATTCGATGCTTGCCACGTAAAAGAAGCCTTCTTCCATCCAAAACATCAGACCTACACGTCCACGTGCCAGCCAGCTATATACCATACCACAAAGCCGTGCAAACAAGAAGACGTCCAACACAGCTTCATAATATCATATTCCTTCATCCATTTCAACAGACTCTTTGTGCCGCCATGGCAGACCACCAACCCGACGACTCCTCAGCCGTCTCCCCTTACCTCTCCACCGAGCGCCCCCTCGACAGCTCCTGGCGCATCACCCTCTCCACCAAAGTCATCGCCATCACCGGCGCAAACCGCGGCATCGGCCTCGGCATCGCCCAAGTCGCGCTCGAAAACGACGCCGCAGCCGTCTACTCGCTCGATCTCGTCTCGCCCTTCCCAGACAACGACAACGGAACCAACCCGGACGACAACGCAGACTACGCCGACTTCCTCGCCCTAGCCAGGAAGCACGACGGACGACTCAAATTCATCCACACGGACGTGACAAAGGAAGCCAGCGTGCAGGCTGCGATGGACGAGATTGTCGCGCGCGAGGGCACGCTGAATGGCGTTGTGGCGAATGCGGGTATGACGAGGCATCAGCCTGCGTTTGAGTTTACGGAGGAGCAGATTAGGGAGATGTTTGATCTTAATGTGCGTTGTGCTCTTCTATCCCCCCCCTTTTTTTTGGTTTCGCACTTCTATCAGGACACCGTGCCAAAGCCACCCCCCTCCTCCTCCCGAGACATATCGTAGCAAGATGATATCATCACCCCGCAATGACGACGACGACGACGACGACGACGACAACCACGACGACTACAACTCCTCTTTCCCTCCCTACTTACCTCCCCGCAACCCACCGCGCTCCCCCAACCAACCCACTAACCCGCACGCACAGGTCTTCGGCGCCTTCCACACCGCGCGCGCAGCCGCCCAAACATTCCAGCGCCTCCACACAACAGGCAGCATAGTCTTCACCGCAAGCATGACCTCCTACCGGCCCAACCGCGCGGCCCCATCCGCGCCCTACGGAAGCACCAAAGCCGCGATCCGCAACATGACGCACACGCTAGCCATGGAATGGGCGCCCTACGGCATCCGGGTCAACAGCGTGTCACCCGGGTTTGTGCGCACGGGCATGACGTATTTTGTGGACCGGACGCCGGATTGGGAGGTCAAGATGCGGTATTATGGCGGGATGGGCAGGCTGGCTTGGCCGGTGGAGGTTGGGGGTGCGTATGTGTATTTGTTGTGTGATGGGGCGGGGTATACGACGGGTATTGATATTCCTGTTGCTGGGGTTGTGGGGGCGTGGTGAGTGGGTTTGTGCGTGTGAACGTGTGGGCGCGTGTGTGGTGTGTGTGGTGTGTGTGGAATGTGCTATTGAGGGGTGAAAGTGAGTGAGTGAGTGAGTGAGTGAGTGAGTGAGTGAGTGAGTGAGTGAGTGAGTGAGTGAGTGAGTGCGTGCGGGCGTGTGGGGAAAATGCGTTTAGGTTCGCTCCGGTGGTACGGCATCGGGGACGCGGAAATGTTGTGGGTCTGGGGGTGTGAGTGAGGAGATGTAAAATTGAAGCTCACTGGAAGTGATACACACAATATCAATGTAGGGTAACTAGGGGGTTGCGTGGAGTGTCAAAAACTCATCTACGATGGATAATAAATTATTTTGATCATCGCAACGGTTTGGCATCATTGGTATTTTGACTCGTAATAACAACGCCGCGCGGTTGCGTCAGGTATAAGATAGCTTGCCGTACTGTGTACTGTACAATGCTACTGGACTGGACGCGACGTAAAACCTATCTTACAAGGGTATCATGGGGTACCACGTACCGGTGGAGAAGGAATCCAACTCTTAACAGGATCACCCATGCCTCCGTTGACCGCTAAGCATGGAACAACCGCCATGAACAAGAGGGAATGTATAGCGACGAACCATTGCATGATTTGCCGGCCACCAAACCTTCCTCAGGCCAGAAGGGTAAATTGGGAAAAAGCTGGGGTTGCGGCGACTGAGATGCGTGATTAATCGAACAGAACGTTGGAATGTCCCAACAGGATCAGGGTAAGAAGAGGCAGACATCCACAACATGGCCCACGTGGGAGCCATACATAACCCCTGGATCAATCGCCGAGCACACTCTCGGCATCTGCAACGTCATGCATATCTTCATCAGGACCTTCCCTCTCGCGGGCTTCGGCTTCAGCTTCCTCCTGTTCTTGGGCGAGGGCCTCCTCGTCAGCCTCGCGGTCGTCCCTCGGTGCTTCTTCCTCGTCCTCGGCCTCACTCTCGACCACAACCTCCTTGCTCTTCGCAGGTCCCTTTCCTTTGCTAGGGGCGGGGGTCTTTGTCCGTGCACGCCCAGTCGCTGTAGTCTTCTTACCGGCTGGCTTAAAGTCTAGGAATGCAATTACTTCGGCGTAGTTCTTGCCGAGCTTATTTCGGTTCTTTTCTAGAGCTTTGCGGATCGGCCCTTTGCCCTTCTGCTCCTCGTCTAGAATCCCTCCAACAAGCCCAAGGACAAGTTTTGAGGCAAAGGCACACAATTGGTGTTCAGCAGAAAGTATGCCTAGCCGTCGAGCCTCGCCCTCTGTCGTATCTTCTTCGTCATCCGACGAGTCCGGTTCATCATCAGGGTCGATCGGATCGTCATCGTCTGCTAGTTCAAGCTTCCGATTCGTCTTCTTGGCCAAAGATTTCTCAGCAGCGATAAGGATATGTTGGAGGATCTCCTGGGTCTTCGGCGGCACTGCAATGACGAAATCCAGGTGCGCACTTGACGCTTCTGTGCTAAGCGCGGTCTTGGCTTTGACGGTTCGCAGGGTGGTGAGCACTGTGAATATGTCGAGTAGCGCACTAGCGATATGAATACGGAGAGCGTCGCCACCAGCCCTGTTCTGCATGACGTATTCAAATGTCGTCACAAGAGCATCACGCTTTTCCGTGAGATAGGTGACATTAGCGGGAGACATGTTGCGCCCAGCGGTCAATTGAGCCTTCCACGCGTTGATCTGCCAAAGGAAGTAGAATGTGAAGATATTGGCGGCATGCATTACTAGCGAGTCTTCCTGTTCGTCAACTCCTTCAGCTATAGCGTCTGACGGTACTCCACGATTGATTATGTTGAGGAGAATAGCCCACGCATCAATCTGCTCTGTTTGAGAGGTTGCTTTGGACCGCTTGTTGGAGCCCGCGGGTTTTGGTATTCTGTCGAGGTATTCAACGCAATTCGATATCGTTGAGAGCCTGTCTAATCGGAGGACAGTGTTGGATAGAGCTGTTAGTTCATCTACACTGAGCGAACCCCGGACAGAGAGTTCGTTGTTCTTATTAAGGTGGTGTAGAGCCTTTATAGTTTCCTCCCAAGAGGCTGAGACTTTACTCTCTGTAATTTCACCTAGCTCTTCGTGCCTACGTGCATGAAGGAGAGCAGCACTTGCCTCGGCAGCTACTGCTTCGCTTCCGTGCATCAGCAGCTGCTTGTTAATCTCATCCAAATGTGCAGCGAAGTCGTTGGTCTCTTGTCGCAAGTCTTGAAAGATCTCCAAGTTGAGGACAGGCTCGAGACGTAATACAGCAGAAGCAGTAGTCGCATCGGCGCCGAACTTTCTCAGCAAACGGGGAATGATGATTGACAGATGTCGTGTAGACTCTTCGAGTCTTTCTTGATGTTGTTGCTTCTGAGCTTTGGTTAACTTGGACCTCTGAGCTCGATGCGACTCGTCTGTTTGAGCAAAGTCGAGCTTCACGGCCGCGTTCAGGACCTCAAGAAGTATTTGCTCTTCTCTCTCCTCTATTTTACTTTCCCGACGTAAGGCCAATTCGACGGTATCAGACGTGCCATTTGAAGCATTCGCAGAATGATCAAAGAGAAGATAACCAGCTAGGATTCGCCAGTCTTTGACTTCGTCAATTGTCTCAAACAACGCTTGTGCAGCGAGAGAGAACCTTGAGTCAAGCCCAGCTCCCACAATGAGATATCCAGCTCGTAATGACTGTTCTTCTGGTGCAGATGGTAGGTCCTCTTCTGCATCATAAGCATTCAAGACCTCGGCCAGACATTTCAGCTTCAGCCATGCCACACGTGGCCTGTCAAAGTCGAGCTCGAGATCTTCTTGATTTAGGCTCTCGTCGATAGCCTGTTGTCCGCCCAGATCGTCAATCTTGGACTCGTACATATCATTGATGTTCTGAGCGAAGAATTTCACTACAGCTTTTCGAACCTTAGGCTCCGCATCAAAAATGAGTTTACCAACAGCGTCGACATCGTCAGGTTCAAGGAGTCCAGCTTCTCTGAGCACATCAAGTAAGTCCACAGTCAAGGCTCGCACGGTAGGCTCACTGTCTCCAGTTGCCATCTCAACCATTCGGGGTCGGAAGCGCTCGGTAAAGGTTCTCAGCCCACCAATCTTGTTCTCGTCAATGAACAGTTTATGCAGCTGCCTCACGACCTCCTGCCTCACTACAGAATTGTTGTCTGATAGCAGCCACCCCACATAGCGCAGATGTGTGCCATCGAAGAAATGATCCGGATACGTAACGATCCATTCCCCGATAGCTTGTACGCAATCGACTCGCACTCTGTGATCAACATCACGATAGCGGTGGAGAAACACGGCCTCGAACCATTCCTTTATGTACCCATCAAGAATTTCTTGCTTGCCGGTTGCTTGTTGCATGTTTTGCTCCAACATCTTGACTCTATCTTTATTAGGCCGTGACTTTTTCTTCTCGTTCTCGCGCTGACGCAGTGTTTGCGCCACTTCATCCAGCACTTCCTTGCTGATGTCACAGTACGCAGTCGTGACAGCGAGACATGCGACAGTGGCAGTGTGACGAAAGGGACCGAAGGAAGCTGACGAGAGGGTACCGAGCCAGGTTAAGATGCTGTCGTTAAGCTCATTTCGCGTAAATAGCAGTTCGGCACGGTGCAAGGCATCGATCAGAGCGATGAAGAAGCCTTCGAAGGCCTTCTTGAATGCCGAAGTACCTTTGCTCCGTGATACTAAGGGGTATTCAACAACTCCTTGCTGTTCTCGTGTCAGAACTGCGTCATATCAAGGTCAATGACTACGTACCGCTTGGAACTCCTCTTGAATGCTCATCAAAGTGCTTGGCGCCCCATCAGTATCCTCTATATTGTGGTGGTCGACTCTTGAATCGCAGCCGGCGCATTTGAATACGAAATTTATGAGATCTGCCACCGAGGCTGCTTCCTCTCCAGCAGTAAACCTTGCAACCCATTCGTCGGCCACCTCCTGCAATGACTTGTCGCCACCAAAAACATCCGCTATGACGACGTTAGTCAATACCGAACAGAGTGTGTTGGGTGGATGTTTACCGTAGATGCCATCGGCTTCACCTACGTCCTGAGCAACGGCTTTACGTGGTCTTTTTGCCTTTGCCTTTGGCTTCGGTACCGATACAGGACGAATGGCCAAGTCTATTGTCTCACCGTTTGATTTTCCATTTGTCTTGGACTTCTTTTTGGCGGGTTTCTTGAGCGTGGGTGTCTTCGTAGCGCTCTTGCGTCGTCGTTTCTCCCTTAACTCTTCTTCGTCAGGCTCGTCTTCAGGATCGTCTTCGTCTTCATCTTCGTCTGACACATCCTCCTCATCGTCGTCTTCGACATTTATTGTCCGCTTCCGCTTGACACTGCCCACCGGGCTCGAGTCGGCGTATAGAGATGGCTTCTTGACAACGCGTCCAGATTTACGTCGCGTACTCCTGGTTTGCGCGTCAGGGTCTGGTGAGTTGACCTCCATGCTGGAATCTCGAGCGGGCATTGAAGCGAACAGCTGTCGAGGAATAGAACGGCGTCGCGTCGCGAATCGCACGCGGTCTAGGTCGTGTTGCTGAGGTGTGACGGAGACGCGCGCGATTCGGAGTGCTGGAAACGAGGGGCGGCTAGCCTAGTTCAAGCTAATCAGACTTCTTAGTAAGAGCTCTGCAAGAAAAAGCATATCCATCCACCTTGCGCATCGTTTTCTACAAACCATCCTCTGGAAACACGTTCTATTCTATTTGATATAGGTTGTACTTCAAACAGTTGCGTGTTCTCAAACTACTGTCCTGTTGCAAGCTTGCACTGTAGAGCCTTCGACATTGACACTCGACATACATATCTAGCCATTAAATCCCGCCAGAACACCCGCAAACATCGTCTGACAATGTTTGGACGATTTCGTCAGGCAGGAATCAATGTCGTTCTCTAACCCCTTCTCCTTATCCTCGTCTCGTCCAGGCAACGGTAACATTCTTGTCTCTCTCCTTCCTCCATCAACACCAGTCTTGCAGACTTTATCTTATCAGTACCCATTGAAACTGATCGCGCCGAATCCAATCACGGCCAATGACCGTCTAGTGTACACTGTCTTCATTCTGACATATGGAGGAGGTCTAGTCGCTGGCGATACCATCTTGCTGGACGTTACTCTTGCGCCATTGACACGGTTGACACTCCTCACCCAAGGCAGTACGAAAATCTACAATACACCAGATCGGAAGAAGCTCACTCAACAATATACGGTCGCATCTATAGCGGACGGTAGTGCCCTTTGTTATCTACCAGATCCGGTCCAGCCGTTCGCAAGGAGTGCATTTTCGCAAACTCAAGTCTATAATCTGCAATCTCGCACTAACAGCAGCATCTGCGTCTGCGACTGGGTTTGCGAGGGTCGACCAGCTAGAAATGAGACTTGGAGCTTCTACTCTTACACCTCGAAAAACGAAGTCTGGCTTACTGGCAGTGGGGAATTGGAGGCTCCGCAGAAGAAGCGATTGCTGATCCGTGACAACCTAATCATGGACGACAACGGAAGCTTCAGTACCGGCCTTCGTGAGCGCGTTGATGGTCAGGGCATTTTTGGCACTTTAATCATCCATGGCTCCATGTTTGAACAACTCGGCAACCATTTCATGAACGAGTTTGAGCACTTACCTAGGATGGGCAATCGTAAGTGGGACGACCATGTAGAGCAGGTGGTCACCGACCCTATACAGGCAGCAAGACTATCACGCCAAGGACGAGAGAAGACGGATGGATTGCTTTGGACATCTGCGAAAGTTCGGGGAAGCGTTTTGGTCAAGTTCGGAGCGAAAGAGGTGGAAGGTGCCAGAAGATGGCTTTATGCGATGTTCAAAGCAGAAGGTACTGTGGAGAGAGAGTTCGGTGAGCGAGCACTGCTGTGCCTACGGTAGGTCATGGCCTGATGAGTCTATACAATCCAGAGTCGTATTTCATATCTATGAGGGCAGAATACCTTACTGTTCTGTGAATGGGCTTTCTTCTTTTAATTGGCCTTTCTCCTTAATCGTCGTAATAAGTCACGTGTCTCTCTGTGTCGGAATCACGTGCAGCGACGCACGAGCTAACGTTTGGCTGCACATTTTCATAGGACCCACCCACACTCGCTTGCTGAGCTGACTCTTCGTCGCAAAACCCGACGCCAGTTCGATTCCCAAGTCCTGCATTTCCTTTTCTCTCTCGCATCAGCCTTGTCATTTCTTCATCTTACTTTATTACGCTGTGAATCGTTGGTGCAGATTAATCCGATCCGAAGGCCATTACTTGCCCTCGTTGTCTAAAAACGGGCATGGTCGTAAGTTCTAAGCTTCGCGTCGGTCACTGCGGCGGAAGAAGTAGAGAAAATGGCGGCGCAAGGGTTTGACAAGCTACTTGAGTATCTTTTAGATCAAGTTACATATTGTGGTACAGATGGTAAGTTAGCTTCTGCAAACCGTCACAGAGTCATTCGTGGCCTACATCGCATTTAATTGTCTACCATCACTCCGCAGCTCTACTTTGGCAGCAAGCCAAGTCGAAGAAACTTCGCTTCGTTGCTATTGTATCAGAGCTCGATCTTGCCAGCAATCTCCACTGCTGTGACTGCTTGCATGATTTGAGCATGTCCTTGAAAAGTCGTGCGGCTACGAGGTGAGCTGACTCCTGGATAGGAGCAAACACAACCGACGTGAAACGGTTCATCGATGATTTCTACAGATCGAAGGAGAATCCAGTTTCCGATGAGCTCGATATTGTGTCGACGACGCATCCGAAGACTCAAGTCGACCGCCATCTACAGGAACATGTATGGAACTGGCTCATTGCTCAACCTGGGGTCTTTATTGGTGAGGGTGACATTCCTACGTCTCTTAGCCTAAGAGCAGTTGAAGAGCTCGAAGCACGCGAGTCGATGGCGAAGACAACTGCACAGCCTTCTGACACCGGACGCAAGACGAAAAAAACCAGTAAAGCAAAGTCGGTCACTTTTGAATCCCCAAACAAGACATCGAGTCCAGGCGCTCCCAGAATTCATGTTAGTGAAGAGAGGATATGGAAGGCTCTTACAGGACATGAGAAAGACTTGAGGCGAGTTCCGCTCTATGAGTTCCAGCTGCTGTCCCGAATTGGCTTCGCCGGTTCGGATGGTATATTGCAACCAGTGCTAGTCATTGAAAGCGGACAAGATAAGCGATCTGTGCCAAAACGAACTGATCAACTTCACGCAAAGGGCTACATCGAGAAACGAGGCGTGCTCTCTAGCGACCGCAAAGCACGAACCAGTCTACTGACCTTGAAATGTCTCGTCAAAACCAAGAGTGATGATGATACCCCTCACGATGATCCCAAGCGACCCTTTATGGAGAATGGAAGTCTTGACTACCTCAAATTCCTCGATTTTATAATGCATGAGGTTCGTCAACATGGCAAAGTTATCGCCCTGTCAGACTTGTACCGTGATTTAGTAAGTCCCCTAGTTCATACGGCAGAATCGGCATAGATCTAACTCTCTTAGGACGCCTATGGCAATGTGCAAAGATGGAAACGCAAAGTTGTATCTCGTGCACTGAAACGACTATGCGCCATTGGCCTCGCTGACAGATTACGCGCAAAAGACACCAGATTTCCGAAAAGATACCACAGGTCCTTGAGAATGCTCAGAGATCCAACTCAAGCAGATCGTGAAGCATTCAGTACCTTCGTCAGCAAGCCGACTCGTACAACACGGTTCCAAGACGAAGGCGACGGCGCTGACGAAGAGGATAACGAGGACGAAAACGATGAGGATGTTGATACGCAACTTGAAAAAGAATTCTATGCCGGTGACGAGGAAGGCGATGAGCTCATTGAAGAAGATGTCTTTGAAGTTGAAAGAGTAGCAACTTGGTCTCCAAATTTCTCAATTGCCAATCAGTTATTCAGAGGCATAGAGTCTGGCGGATCGTTGGGCTTAACAGCTATTGTAAGTTACTGAATCGGCTATGATCATGGCTTCATACTGACGGAGACCTAACAGATGACGAGAGCTTTGATATTCGGGCAATTCTGGAAAAGGCCCATGGAGAGCGTGCTGAGTAATCTCACTAACGATTGGCAAATTAATCAGCCTCCTCATCTTCAGCACCTCGCCATTATCCGGGACACGGAACAGAGTATAGATCAGAGAGGTGCACATTTTCTCTATCGGTCATATGGCCACTACGCCTCCTTGGTAGACGAAGGTCTAGTGAACTGGGATGCTGTCACCAGGGCCTCCGACATTAAAGCAAAAAAGGTCAAAAAACCCAAGAGAAACACAACGCTTGATGCATGGGGCTTCCCACAACAATTTGAAGAAGGCTTCATTTCCAAAACTGGTGTTGCTAGTCTCGCGGAAGGGACGTCGATAATCAATCTAAAAGCGAAGTTTCGCTTCGATGGCAGCAAGATTGGCCAACGCATGCAATGCGGTGGTCCACGAATCGGGCGGCCTCCTAAGGCTGAGAAGTCTCGGCGGGAATTAAAAGAGGAGAAACAACTGAGGGACTACCTAGAGGTTGTCAGAGAGCAAGCGCGCAACCTGGTTCGACATCGTACTTTGCAAAGATACAGAGCACATCCGGACATCATACCCGAACTCCCTCAATTGCCAAATGAAAGAAGCAAACCAGCGAGTCACCAGCCGTCCGAAAATAAAAAGGCTCCCAAAATCAACGGTAAATCACGCGGCGGACGAAAGCGAAAGCTCGACAATGAAGTCGTAGCTGAAGTCGCAGCTGAAGACTCAGCACCTGGTGCCGCAAATCCAGTAATCAATCCGGTTACGAAACGAAGAAAAATCGGGGAAAATGAAAAGCCTCAAGCAGTGTATGACGTGGATGCAGATTTACCTACCCAGGCTCAAGGTTGTCCAGCACAGATTGTAGGTCTGGATCAACATGTCACAGCGAACGCCGCGGACGTGTCCCACGAGATACAGTCAAATGATGTTATATCGAGGAGCCAAATGACATTCGAGGAAATTGAAGCAGAAATTTACAAGAAGCTGGTGACTGAAGGTCAGGTGGAGTCGATGTTTCGCAAACTTCTACGCAAAGAAGGACCAGGACTGTATATCAACCCACCTGGTTCCGAGAGAACATACTCAAAGCAAGGCCGCCCTAGTAAAGGTCTCATTCTGGTTTTCAAATTCTCTAAGCTTGCGGACTTTGAGTGGTTCACGAGTACTGGTGATGCATCGTCAAAGGCCAAGCATCAGCACACCCAGCACGACTTGCCTGCGGACATCCTTAGACTGATTGGTGTTGACTGCACAGAATCATGCGAGTCAACGGGAAACTCGACAGCGGCCGCAAAGACCAAGCAACAACAGATCGTTGCCAATGTTGGCTCAGCTTCGAATTTTACATCATTGGCGTTGCAGACTTCTTCGCAGACACTTGTGGAGGAAACAGCGAACCCAATCTCTACTATCGAGCAGATTCACGAGCGGCCGAAGACTTACGTGAGCCCTTACAGTATGGCAGCTACACAAGGTGAGGCAACACAGTTGCTGCAGGCCTCTGCAACACACCCTCCATCTACAGATCGTCAGACGACCCACGATGAGTCGTCTAAACCCAATCGCAACAGAAAGAAGTACGCTTCTCAGACAACAGATCGAAGAGACCGGAAACGTGGGGTCCGGCTCGGCGAGGGCAACATTCTTGTGTCACGGGCACAGCTTGTTATGGAGATCATAAAGCTAGCGGGCGGTCTGTTTCCTGGCCACGGCGCTCTAAATACTGCCTACAAGACACTATGGCGACAGAGGCTCGCGAAGAAGGCCAGCGAAATATCCAAGGTGCCTGATCATAAGACAATTGGTCGTGCCGTTAAAGACTTGGTCCACAATTCACAGTTGGTTAAGATGGTGTTTTCGTTTACAAAGAATGGGATCACTGCACAACGCGGGATTGTAGCTCTTCCACATTTTCGACCAAATTCGCCAGAGATCCGTCAACTGCAGATGAGGATCATCGAGCGGTATCCTGAAACCTACTTTCCTCCTGCTATCCATCATCTCATACCTCCTAGCAAAATTGTAGGAGGCTCACGTGGACACTATAGAGAGGTATTGCCTATTAATCAAGACGTTGCAGTCGAAATAAAGCATCCTTTCAAGAAAGATCTTTTGCGCGAAGAGAAGCTTTTTGAGAAGACCCAGAAGCGCAAGGAAGAGACAGCTCAAAGAAAGGCCCGAAAGAAAGAAGAAAAGCAGCAGGCCAAAGAGGCACGAAAACGTCATCGAAATTCGAAATCGACCTCGAAGGTGAAAGCAATAGACGGTAGGCACAGAAGCGATGTGGACGGAGTGGATACGCGCATGCGCCCAACACACAATGTTGTGATGCCTCAGATGCTTACCTACCAGGGCATCACTCTGCAAACAGAAGACGTTGATCATATATGGATGCCAGACAGTCGAGCTGAATTTGAGAGGCTTCGAAGAGACGTGGACGAGGTATCAGATGATGATAGCTCGCTCGATGGCGATCCCAGCCGCCAAGCGCTGGTTCAGGATGCAGGCTTGGAGTATATTCAAACTCGGGTGGGGGATCTCCCCGTGGAGCGCACTGTTCTACCACTCGTGTATAGGAGCCGCGGGTTTGATTTCGCCAGTTATGTGCCTCAAGCAGACCTGTCAAAGTCCTTACTTCTACCGAAAATCTCGCGTCACGAGTCGACTGGTACGTATGGCACGTCATACGAACCATGGCGATACGCATACGATATGCGATTCCTGAAGGACGAAACCGAGCACGCTTTCTGGGAGGCTGGTATGCCTCAAGAACTGTCAGACATCCAGTTGTCAAAAACCTACCAACAGAAAAACCATGGACAAGAGCAGGAAACGAGTCGTGCAAGGTTCAATAGAATAATTGATGGTGTCTGCAACAGAGAGTGCAGAGATGTACGCACGAGCAAGTATGTTTTCTACACTGATGAAGACGACTTACTACACAATCCTTTGACTCCACGCCTACGAACTCCTCGATTCATAAACCATACAATCCCTACGGGCACACAAGTGCTTGCACCGTACACAGAGCCCAAATGGGGAGGGCCGAGCAATGATGGCAGTCCGCCACAGCTCAACACGGATGGCAACGTGCACTGGAACCACAACGATAGCTTTACGTGTGTCTTCCCGGACAAACCTCCAGACGAGTACTTGAGTCCAGAGTGGAAAGCCTTCAGTAATGAGATGAAAGCGCTGAGCGCAGCAATGTATCCACCAAAGCCTCCGCCCAGGAAGCGCGAGAGAAGCAGATATAAGCGCCGCAAGAGGCATATCACGAATTTAGTAGAAGCCCTTACGAAAGAAAAGGCGCCACCAGCAGCTAAAGCACGGAAAAAACGTGCTCCTGAGTTGAAGAAACGCAAGAAGTTCGGCCCCAGGAACAGTCAATTTGTCGTGAATGCCAGGGATATGAAGAAGCTATTGTATGCGGCAGTCGTGGTGAAGGTCATTGCAGGAGGTACCCGAGCGGCCGTTCCATGGCACCTCATTTATTATATGTTCAGGTTCCATGAGAATCTGGATCTCATGGTGCTCAAAAATCGACTATTGTGGATGGACCATCACTACAGCGACCTGTTTCAAAAGCTGCAAGACAACTTTAGAGAAGCTTTCATTCCGGCGTACGAAAGGGGTGAGGTGCCTGAACTGGACTTCCAGGATCTTGAACATTACGACTGGGATTTCATTCTAGATTGGGCCATGAATAATCTACATGTCCAGGAAAACGCACCGGATCTACCACAGAGTCGGGACGCCTTCATTGAGATGTACCAGGTCGAAGAACTTCCAGCAGAGTATCTGTCACGGCAGAAAGCTAGGTTCTTCAAGGCAGATGAGATGATGGGTAATCGCCGTGCGGCGGTGCACTCGTTACCATTCTCGGCTTTGTTGGAAACCACACAACTCAAGATCAATGAGAAGCATGTTCGACATGAGGCAGACGTTGCACTGGGCAAGTCATGGCTTCGAGCAAACACAACAACACCGATGGCAATGTACGACAAATACGGTGCAATGACCAAGCTATCGGAGCTTGGCGATGCTCTAGCACAGATGAGTGTCAACGCACTGATTCGTGAGAAGGTATTTGCGCATCGCACGAAGGGTAGAACTATGGTTCCAGGGCGCAATTATCATTTCACGAACCAGTTTGAGAAGGCTCTACGCGCTGATGTTGCACCTGGTGCTTTGACTGCGGCAGTCAGGTACAAGCTAGAACTAGATGAAGCATTCACTGGATTAGGAGATACTACTGTCGAGGAAGCAGCAGAGGATCAAGACGGCGATATTGTCATGATTAGCGAACGATCAGTCGCACCTCGAGCATTCCCTATCAGCCAAATGATGAAGACACACGTGGCGATCGTCAACCTCAATCTCCTTGCCTCCCACCGCATTAGGATCTCGCCTGAACTGCCTCGATTCTCAAATGAGATGCCATTCGACCGAGGACCAGGGATCTTCATCAGCAGATGGGGATTTGCACAAGGGCATTACAGCACACGCAAGCTCCCACGTGAAGCGTTCCATTGGCCACTCAGTGTTACACCAACAGACCAATACAAAACGGGAATCAAGCAGGTCCCTGTGCCGCCGTCGACCAAAGACTGCATGAGCGTTGCTCGGGCAGATTATCTCCAGAAGCGGTCCCCTCGCTTGCAGCAGAAAGAGCACATCCCCCTCTGGCGCACACTCAACGACCAGATGATTCCGCACTGGTGGGCACGTTTTACGGCTTGCGTATTGAACATCCTCGCGACGCGTGCGTCAATCCGATCATCACATATTGTCAGCATTCTGAATGGGTATTTGGACGTGACGGAAGTAGAGGTAGCGCTTGCATGGCTCGAAACCAACGGCGTAATCAAGAAGATGCCAGAATCAAGTTGCTGGGTGTTACAAGAGGAGTGGTGGAGTATCCTAGGTGGCGATGTGCAGGATTATGGACCAAAAGATGACAGATGGGTCAGAGATGTGGAACTCAAGATTGTGGAAGACGGTGTGGAGAGGACTGCGGACGATCTGAGCAAAGCGTCCGTCGGCAAAAAGGGACTACTGCGTGGCCGTGGGGATGTACGATATGGTCATGCGGATAACAACGCGAAGACATGAGAGAGATGGTATGAAAAGTGGGAAAAGAAGAGGACCAAACACGATGCTGGCGAGGCTGTAGTCGATGCATCATAGCAGGAGATCTTTGTACAATTAGTGATGACGGGGAGGGAACATGCGCAGGTTATACATATAGTATATATGTATACCTTTGCAGGCTAACTGGCCTTCAGTCCACAAGACTGACGGCAATCACTCAAAGATAGGGTCGACACATTTCACGTGCCTATAGATGATGGCACTTCAACATGATCAACAAATGCTGAACATAATGAAGTCAAAATAGAGCACCAGCCCCCCGTGGCGGACAGACAAGCCACAAGGCGCCTGAAGAAGAAGGCGTAGTGACAGGTAATTTAGATTACAGCCACGTGACCAGTCAAAACCCGATCACGACAGCTCCCGGACACCGGATTGCCGGAACGCCACTACCGAGATTAGACAAATAAACATGACGCTAGAGGCTGATACCTTCCTAGTATGGGTATTATGCATTTTCCATTCATCCCACCCTTGCTTAGCTACCAATGCATAATAATCTCTCCATCACAAACGCGTTTTTTTGTCTCAAAATTGGGAGAAAGAAAGGAAAAAAAATCATGTCTGCAGCTGTTCAGGGTAGCTTGGCTTAAGTGTCTCTCATTTATTCTATTTACCTCTTGTACACCCGACTTTCAGAGAGGGAGTAGCGTTTAGAATAGTGTACCGTTGGGTAGCTGTTGCGCGTCTGTTGCAGGGGATGTACCGCCACAAGCCAATCAGGTGCATGAAAACCCTGCAGACATGGATAGGCCCCATTACGATGAATCGGCCATGCAAGGCACCGTCGACACAAGAGAATAGCCTCCTTTTTGACTTCTTTACGTCAACAGCTTGCCCTTCACTCGCTCCGCTCATACTTCTTCACATTCGTTCATTTTCCTGTCAACCACACCATCGCTCTTTCCAGCACCCCAGTCCTCGATCGAAATCACTCCGATCGCCGCTTGCGTCATACCCTTTCGGAAGCTTTAATCTGCAGCAAGTAGCTGCAGCAACAACAATCTCACAGTTCCTAGTCACTCCTTACAACCCTAGAGCCAGCATTCAACTTATCGCCGTTCTGTGAGACAACAGGATTATCGCAACTCTACCTTACGAGCATACGAGGCATCAATCTGTACATACGACGCCGCTATCCGACTGAATACATACCGCTGAAAGAACTTACTCGTCCAGTCTATCGAGACCTATTTCGATTCACATACGTTCCTCGCGCACACACGCGGCGTTTCCATCGAGTCAACTTTAGCCGACTCGGCCGTGTGTAGATACTCGATATCGCACACGGGCACGCATACCTCCAGAGTGTTTCGCTCTTCTTCAATTAGAAAGAGACAACCCACATACGAAATCATGCGTCTATCGAAACTCACAACACTACTACTTCCCACCCTTGCCACCGCCGCTCTACATCCCGTCTTCAACCACCACATTGACGCCCGTCACATCGCCGTCGCGCGCCCAGCACACCAGCCGGAGCCTCCGGCCGCTGCTCACGTCACCAGCTTTCCAGGAGATGCACTCTCGTACGCCCCTCTCCCCTTACAAGCCGTTGGCAACCCACCAGACTAATTTCGCTCTGCAGACCCCGAGGCGGTGTCGTCAACGCCCCCGCCGAAGTCCAGCCCACCGCCGGCGCGATAGCCCAATACCCGTCAATCACCACTCAATGGGTCCAGACTGTGCTGACCAATGGCGTAACAACTTGGGTTGAGATAATTTACACGCAGACATTTGCGGATGTACCTGACCAAGGTGCCTTACCGGGGTCTGGAGCGGTTGGTATGGGAACAATGCACCCGGCGCAGGCGACCGGGGGGAGTGACGATATCAAAGCTGGGAGTGGAGTTCAGGTTGGTGGGGTTGGGAGAGGTGCTGACTCTGCTTGGGGGCTGGGGAGTTTCGTGCTTGGGATGGTAGGCGTTGGGATGGGGTTGGTTTTGTGGTGAGAATAATGAAGGGGATGAGGAGGAGAAGGAGGAGGGTGCATCCATGCTATGAGCCAGTCAGCATTTATCACTCATACGCGCACCCGATACACCACACAACACATATCTCGACCATCTTCCTACCGCCCATAAATACCACCAATGTACATATTCGTGGCTGGACACCCGAACGTAAAGAGATAATGCGAGAAAGGAGTACATAATTAAGCAGTGAGGTACCACGAGGGACTAGGAACGAGAAAATAGCCAGGAAAGAATTAGACCTCGAGTAGAAGAATTAGATCACACAGGCGACGACTAGAACGTCCCGAAACGTAATGAAACGATGATCATATATACCCGAATCGATAGTTGCTGACTGGGAAAAGGAGCATCGCCCTCCAATGATAAAAACTTTTGATAACGCCGAAAAGAGTTGCATCATGAACGAGCAAACGCAGAAATAGAGCCAGCATGCATGCATTACGAACTAAGTGAATTCATGACGATGACATGTAGGTACCATGAAGATGCAAAAAGAGAAAGAAAAAAAATCGCTAGAGCCCCGATCGCAGTCCCCAGAATACTCCTCTATGTATTGTAAATATAAAAGTCATGAGACACGGCCGCACTTTATGTTTGTTGAAAGGCTGCATACAATCGTGAGTCTGAGATATCTACAGGATCGCTGATATGATGAAAGATGTACATGCAAAGATCAAAAAGGTGCTTGAGATGGATAGGGACGAAAAGGACAGGCAATGATGGGAAAGTGAGATGATGCAAGGCCCGAATCAGTTCAGTCCTATGCTTGAGAAACGCAAATGCTATTTTGAGTGGCTTCAAAGGGCCGAATTACGATGACAAACTCCATACAGACCGATAGGGGTTGGGGTATCAACAATGCAAGCCAGGGGGGACTCCGACACCGCAAACCTGAGAGGTAAACGTGGTATCATCAAAGGAAAATTTGAATCATCGACTTGGGCGGCTTGACGTTCGACATACAATCGTCAACTACACATGCTGAGAACGGCGCAGCCTCGAACAGCGCCTTACTCTTGCCTTTGCGCTTACTCATAGACCGGTTCTGCGTGCACTCTCCGCAATAGATCTTAACTGTGTGTCAATAGCTGATCGTGAATACCATAATTGAGGGTTCAATACTCACATGTCCACACGCCCTGATAATCCACACTTGACGTTTTGTGTCATCGTTCCCCGTGCACAACTCATCCTGGCAATTTGGACAAATCAGAATTTCGTCTTCTTCCGGGCTTCTCGTGAAGCCTAGTGGAGCTGGTGAGGGCGCCTCGTAGGTTGGGGCTGGAGGCGTGGGTGCTCTTGGTTGGGCTATATGGAATCCGACGGCATCAAAATCTAGTAATCCAGGAAGTTGGAAGCCTGCAATGCGTCCCAAACGTCCATGTCCCATGTCCAATATCTCGTTCATGTTGCCCCTGATGTTCTCTATGAACGCTGTCATTCTTGCTGTTCGATGAGGTGGTTGGGGTAGATCTTGGGCGAGTCTTGGTTGCAGCCGTGGCTCTTCACGAAGAAACTGGAGGTCCAGATCCTCATCCAAGTCTTCATCTGGATCCACATCCATATCTGCCAACATCTCTTCAAAGTTATGTCCCATGAAAAGCGGTGTAGATACATTTTCTCGACTGCGTACTTGCCATTGGGCACTGGGCCGTCCTCTTCGAGGCCGAGATGACAGGAATTCTATGTCTGGGCTTTCCGCAGGAGGTCTTCTAGGCCCAGTGTCCGGATCTGACTCTACCACTGTGGAAGCGTCTGCTGATAGATCTATGATCTCCCGTCCATGTGGGAATTGTGGAGGCCCGGCCGCACGTATGGAACCCCTCGTCTCATTTTCAGGCCGGACCTCGTCCTCGTCCTCGGCCGTCAAATCAATTACCAAATCTTGATGGTTGCTCGGTCCCGGGTTCCAAGCAGTCCCAAGGGCAGGCCGCCGAAAGTCCATTCCATCACCGTGATGCCTAGGTCTTATACGCGGTTGTGGCGTTCGTTGTCGAGAAGTCGAGCTGGGTCCGGCGGAGACAGAGCGGCTTGGGCTAGGTATAGGCGAGTGAACCCTATACGACATACGACTCTCGTGCATCTGATCGTGTGTACGCTACACTCAGAAGGTCAGTCAGATCAAAGATACTCCTCCCAAGGCTTCCTGTGCAAATGGGACGGGGTTAGGTGGCGCTGACCTTACTACGCCGGTGGTGCGGGCACTCGAACGCACGTTGTTGGTCCATGCTGTTTGCGAGGTCGTGGGACGCACTCAAGTCTGTCGATTATGGGGGAGTGGCACAGAAATGCAGAGGTAAGGTGAAACAGAATGAGAGAAGTTGTCGGAAGGTGGAAAGGTTGAAGTTGTAGTGATAGCCCTGGAGATGTCGGCAGCATGTCCGACCCTTACCGTATCGGGCCGGGTGAAAGTTGTTGTCGGGGCTTCCTCGCGTAGTGGCAACCGCCAACCGCTAACAAGTGGTCACCATAGTACTCTATATAAAAAGTCATACTGCGCGACTGCGTAGTGAAGAGTACAAAAGTGAACGGAAAGACAGAGAGACTTTCTTGTTTACGTGCCTCGCTCACTTCAGTCCGGCACATCTAACCTCATCTGCTCTTCAAGAAAATAGGGTTCCTTTTCTAACCACTGCGACCTCCATATTGACAAATCCGTCCGGCTCCGCAGCCCAAGCATTTCTGCCATTTTCCGACACTCTTCACGTTTCTGCCATCAAATCACCATAAGCAGCGTGAGATACGACCGTATCGTACGGATAGCAAGCCTGGGCTGTATGCAGTATTGCGGCTATTTAAACTCAGCGCAATTTTGACCCTTCCAAGTCCATGGACGCCTACAAGACCAGAGACCCTAATAATACATAGCAAACAGATTACCTGCCCATCATGACGCAGCGAAGAGATTGATTCGGTCGTCAGCGGTCAGTGCAACTAGTGACTTTGCATTGGAACCCCATTCTACCCCTTTGGATGGAACAGCCTTGCGTACGAGTTCGCTCCATTTTTTGCTCGACTTGGAATAGTGCTGTACAGCAACACAACCAGAGCCAGCGACGGCGAGAAAGCCTCCTGTGTAATCCCACGCCATGCTCTCAACTGGACTACCAATGTCGAGGACCTTGATAGTATTCATCTTTCGGAGATCCCAAATAGCGACACTGCTCTGGCCCTGCGATGCCGATGCGAGCCAATAGCCATTCTCGGAGAAGGCCAAGCTTTTGAGTGGACCCTCGGCCGCAAAGTCGGCGCCCATGGATCCAGATACGACATCATAAAGTCTAATATGTCCATCGCGCCCACCTGCACCAAAGAGATGGCCATCGGGGTGAAAGCTGCCGAACGTGACCTCTGCGGTTTCATTAGTAAGACCCCCGCCAGGAATACTGTAACTTACCAGAATCGGTGTATATTTGGGATGCGATCTTCAGGCTAGACAGGTCGTAGAAAGCGACAATCTTATCGACACCAGTTGAAGCCATAATATTCCCACTAGGATGAAGTGAAAGAGACGTCACCCTCCCTGCATGCGATCCAAGTTTGCCAATAGATTTGCCGCCGTCGAACACGTCGATGGCACCGGTTGAGGTACCTACCACGGGTCGCGATCCCCACCAAGCAGCTGCCGTGACAGGTGCACCCACATCGATCGTTTCGACGATTTCTCGTTTCGTCGTTGAGTAGATACCGGCAACCCCATTGTTTCCTCCTATAATAGCAAGCTCCCCAGCAGAGTCAAGGGCGAGGGTGGTACCCCCAGGATACAAGGGCTCTGTTGCTTGTGTCGAGTCCAGCGACTGAACGTCCTCAGCGGTTGCCCAGTCTGGAGGTACTGGTCGCTTCTTTCTTGTCCCAGAGAGCCTAGTATTATTAGTCAAACGCTCCGAAACCTGTGTATCTACACTGGAGTATACATACTCTGCTTGTGTCGACGTAATAATTTCGGCAACCTCGTCCGACATTGCCGTCGAATCGACCTGCATAGCGTCGCCATTCGTACCTGCGCCAGCACTCACAGTCACGTTTGATAGAGCTTCCCTAGCATCATCTCTCTCTTTTACCAGCCTTGCAATCACTCTTGTGGCAGCATCGTGTTGATACAAGGCCGTGCTGAGTTCCTGTCTGGTTTGCGCAAGCTCTTTCCTAAGGTTGTACGTCTCTAGGGCGATTGCGTCCCATTCGTTCTGGAAAGCAGAAAGAAGCGAAGGTATCGAGGTAAGCGTAGGTGGTCGTGGCTTGAGTGTTCGCGCCGACTTAAGTTCCAAGAGGTCATCAGTCTCGAGATCCTCGCCGGTTACTGGGTCCGTATGGTGTTCTTTGATATGTGCCTCTATTAAGCGCTTCTCGAACAGGTGTCCTATGCGATTATGAGCTTCGTTTGCTATGTTCACAGCAATTGGACGCGTTCATACCACTCTTTCTCGAAACAACAGGCGCCTGGGGCGCTTCTCCTGATACTACGACAACGATTAGCACTTGATTGTCGATATCAATCTAAAACTTACTTGCGCACAACATGATCACTGCTGAGATTATTTTGGGTTGTCGCTCTTCTAACACGCGCAGCTCGACTAGGTAATCTCGAGTTCTGCGGAGAAATATTTCGCCGAAGCTGCTTCTAGCTAGCGCAAGACTTTTCCTAAAGCGGGCCAACTCCAATGCTCATTAATTAGCTCTCGATCTAATTCATTATAAGTTATTTTTTGAACATGATTTTGACATGCCATCAACATGTTATCTTCTTTATGAATGCTAGGTTTTCATGCTTGTTATCTTTGGTCTTTCGTATCTCAAGAGCCAATGCTCAACACGGCTCTCTAAGTCTATGTTACACCCACCCGTAGACAACTTCTGAACAGATTTCAGGTTATGACAGGATGTCTAAGCAAGGAAAACGCCCATAATGTTGATTCATATCTGAAGTATGGACTCTAGCATCGCTCATGTGTGACCTGATAATAGATGATATAGCTGTTGCCCTAAATACTTCAGATCATAGATGCTAGTGAAACTGTATCACCGTCGCAAGATCATCGATAAGTGCTCCGAGGCTCCATAGGCTGGAAGCTTAGCTTACATCCACAATCACCACCCGATTGGGCGATGGATGAAACGGGTAAGCATTCAGACTCTTGGTTCGTACCTAACGCCTTTTATGCGACTATGCACTACATGAAGTCAATACGTGCGGGACTTGATACATGAACGATAAGCGCTGGCACTGCTCACTTCCTACATCGGTCGTCCAGGTCAAATTCAGTCGGGCGTTCTGCGGTCTCAAAGGTTGCAAATAATACACTATGGCTGCTACGATGACCCAGACTGTGACCAGCTCGGGTTGGCCTCTCCGTAGACCGGCACATCCGTTTTATTCATTCTCAACTCCGATAGCCTCTTCTGTCAAAGTCTATCACCTAGCTGATCAAACCCGATCACCACTATTTACTTTACCCGCAGAGCTACGCAATAAGATATACTTTTATCTGCTCACGACCACCCACCAGCGTCTCGAAGACGATCGACGGGAGCGCGCTCGCGGTTGGCGATCCTCATATGTCCTCCCTGGCCTTGATATTCATCCAAACATACTTGCGACATGCAAACAAGCCCGTGACGAGGCCACCGACATCTTATACACGAATCACGTCTTTGGAGCGCACCAATCTCTCCTCACACAATGCCCCTACCTCCTCGATCCGTCCCGGCCCATATACCAAAAGGCAGCAGCTGATAAGATTGGTCGATGGTGGATTTGCCTTCGTTTGGACATAGAGCCGCGCTTCGACGAGGAAAAGGTAACAAAAGCATTTACAGGTATGGATGAATTATGCATCGAGGTCTGGGAGGCTCAGTATGCTAGCTGTGACTACACAGTTCTGAAACTGTTCGCGAATGTCAGAGCTGTTAAGAAGGCTTATGTAACGGGGAGTGTCGAGAGGAAGTTTGCACGATGGTTGGAACGCGCAATGATGAGCCCCGTTGGCAGGAACGTGCCTGCTTACTGGGACGACTCTAACTTGCTGAAAATAGGGTATGACACTTATGACGAATGGACGCATGGTGGAAGATGATATTATACGTGTCGAATGATTAAGCGGTTTATTGATAACTATTTTTGGACGTCGTACAGCATCGATCGCATGTAATTTTTTCCACGATGTAGGCCGTCAGTTTCACTAAAGTTGAGTCATAGTCCACTCAAGGTCAATTGGTTGGAGCTGTTGGCGATTGGTGTAGAAGAGAACACTTATGCATATACCTAGGTATTGATACGATAATGCCAAGCCCCTCGAATACCCCTACCCGCGCTACTAGAAGCTAGCCAGACATCCCCTGTAGCTTCACATTCTCCCAACAATATATATCAGGTTTCTCTTGCCTCAGTCTGGCTTCTAGACATCCCATAATGGCCTCCATCACGAAATCCTACCTGATTCTGTACAATTTCGTCTCCGCCGGTCTTTGGACCGTGGTCCTCGCACGCACCGCAACAATAGCCATCTCCGCTGGTCCCGACAAGGTCTTCCCTGAGCTCGATGAATATGTGCGACTGGTACAGACTGGGGCATTACTGGAGGTTGTGCACAGTCTAGTCGGTAGGTACTCTGTCAAGCTTCAGAGCTGGTCATGAACAAAGAGCGAAAGGAACCTGGACTGATAGAAAACAGGACTCGTTCGAGCACCTCTCTTCACGACCCTAATGCAAGTCGCGTCAAGACTTCTTCTTGTATGGGGCATCGCGTATACATTCCCGTCAGCAACCGCACAAAGTCCTACTTATCCATCCATGCTGGTTGCGTGGTCTGTGACTGAAGTCATAAGGTATTCGTACTTCGTATTCAACCTCGTTGGGAGCATTCCGGGTGCCTTGACGTGGTTGAGATACAACACCTTCTTCATTCTATACCCTCTCGGAATTACAAGCGAGTGCTGGTGTATATACGAGGTGATCAGGAGAGGCGCCGCGAAAAAGATTGATCAGAAGCTGGAATTCGCGCTTTGGGCAGTACTAGTAATCTATATCCCCGGTAAGTCGTCTTGCTCTTGGATAATGTGAGGTTGTACTGATCTTAGAGCTTTAGGCGCATACATACTATATACACATATGATGAAGCAGCGACGAAGGATCATGCGTGGGAAGCAAAAGGCGAAATAAATAGAATCAAGCCTATAGTATTCTCGGTATGTGTAATTGAGACTACTAGATCGCATTTGTCTGTTCGTTCATATATGTCGCTGCTTGTCGACTTTCGTTGACTCAGTGGAGACTTGCCAAGAAATATCGTATGTATACGCCAGTTAGTATAGCCACCACAAGGGTGAGATATTAGTAATATGAGCCTAAACGCACTCAGCGCAACCTTCATACCCGGTATATCGTATCTTTTAGTGCGGCCTATCGATGTAGAGATTCTACGTATTCGAAAGTTCTTCGGAAACGGTATTCCTCGATACGCGATCTTGTGGGATACACAAAACGACGAAGAGATCACATTTCAAGACACGCAAACAAGCACACATTGGCCCATCTAATCGACAGAAGGGCGCACAGACCAGACGGAAATGCGACTCAGGAAGAACAGGTTTGCCACCAATAACCTTCAGTATGCTGGCAATTTTCGTGAACTCGAAGATGAAAATAATAAGAGCCCGGCACATGTACGGATCAGGCAGAATTGTCCATATGCAACACCCTTCATGGATCCGACCAACGAATAAGGGCTGGACCTGTGACTGCGGCTATATTGTCGAACCACACGAGAGGCGCAAAATTACTCTACCATCTGGCACAAAGAGATATTAAACAGTGTATCTGCTTCCGAGCTTCCGAAGCCAATCTTGATTTGCATCTTATTAGAAACTATACTCATCACCTAGTCTGGAAAGATTCATCGGACGTATTCGGAATCAGGCTCCTGATCTTATCCAAGAAGACTCGCGGCGAGGTCTCGGCAAACAGCCGTGGACAGCCGTATTACATCATATTCCTCAGCATAGTCGAAATTCACTCATCACAGCAAATATACTCTGAGCGTGAATACAGATGGGCTAATGACAGCAGCCCTAAAATTGCATCCAATCAATGCCATGCCAGAGTTTTGAAATGATAACAAACTAGATCAGGCATTAGGCTGTGAAGATTCATGGGTTGTGAACACATCAATGGTGTGCGCCATTTCGTTTTGACGATTGGCAGTGAGCAGGGTCATATCGCGATGTAACTCGTCTTTTCATTTCTCCCCATTCTACCGTCGTTTCTGACACTGCATAGTACAAAATCTCCTCAGCATTACCAACGTCTATTCTCCCCTTTCAATAAATCATCGTCAAATTACCATCTCAAATTACTGCGCTCTTGTTTACAAAAGAGCGGCAACACCGAGGGCAACAAGACCCATGGCACCGGCAGTCGGGTGGGCAGCAGCACCAGTGAAGAACGGCACTGAAGGAGTTCCAGCAGGCTTGGTGGCAGTACCGGCATGGCTGGCAGGAGTACCAGCTGGTGGTGCAGGGGCTGGCTTGCCAGCAGGCGGGGTTGGTGCGGGCTGACCAGCTGGGTGGGTGATAGTGCAAGGGCAGTTGGTGATAGTAAGAGTCGTGGACGCAGTAACGGTGTAGGTTTTACCGTTGTAGGTCATAGTAGTCGGGGTTGGGCACACAGTGGTGAAAGCGGTGACGACGGTGGTAACGACGGTGTCAGCACCACCCTCGCAGGCAGCACGCTCAGAGTTGCAGACGGCGAAGTTGGGGCTTGGGAGGGAGCGCTGGATGCAGGCGTTGTACACCTCGTCGCACTTCGCGGTCAAGTTGCCAGTTGGTGCTGGAGGTGCTGGCGTAGGAGTGCACTTGGGGTCGTGCGCTGGGTTGCAGCCACCTGGGATAGAGGTCGACACACCGGCACCAGATTCGCAAGCGGCACGCTCGGAGTTGCAGACAGCAAAGTTGGGGCTTGGGAGGGAGCGCTGGATGCAGGCGTTGTAGACGGCATCGCAGGCAGAGGTAGAGGAGGCTGGGGCAGCGGCGCTGAGGGTAGTATTCACAGCGGTAGCGGCAGCGCCAACAGCGAAGAGGAAGAAAGAGTACTGCATCTTGATTGATGAACGAGTGTATGAAATTGGTATTAAGAGGAGGTATAGATTAGCGAATGTGTCTGATGAGTTGAGTGCAGAAGCATGATGTGAGAGCTGGGATACATCTCTATTTGTACACCTGGGGGTTTCTCCAGAGTCAAGCTACCGTACCATCTGAACCTGGTATGTGGATCCCTATACCACATCTCAAAAATGGATGAGATTATCGATAGCTTCGAGGAACTGCGGCAAGTGATCAGTGACTTCATCCCTGCTCATGAGCAGCCAGAAAGAACCAAGAATCTCAATATATTTGCCTATGCTAGTGCACGTGGCGAAGCTACCACCGCATAGAAGCGTGGAAAATATGATGGTACCTGTAGATCATGGAAGTCTAAAGGCTCTGGGTCCCACCATCGTTGCTCTTCTGGAGCCTTCCTGATACTTTGTGCTCGGGGGTGCATATTGATTGGGCATCCATTTTGGGAAATCTTATCCAAGCGTCATATTCGCCAGTCTGCCGTAGCCTGCGCCATCGGCCGGTGGGTCGAGGCTGGGTCCTCTGAGACAAACAGTGCGCTGCTGTTCCCGGTGGGCTTGCAGGGGTACCTGCGTCTCGTATTCGCAGAGGATCCCAAGCTGGCCACTTTGGAATTCGAACGTTGTTACCTGTTTCGCATGAAGCCTGTGTACACTTTAGTCGTCAAGGTACAGGACAGGTGAGTATTGAATGAATCTGCATCAACGCAATGCTGGGAAACTTCTAGGCGTTGGTTGGGCTGGTTGGTCGACTAAATTTCAGCGAGAGCGGTCCGGCGGCAAGAGATCAAAGGAGATTGAGGCATTTGAAGAAGCACCTAGTGAGCATCATCGAAACGCCCTCTATCTTGACCGTTGCGCGGTTGAGCGGACATCCACATGATTGGAACGGGAAGTTCTACACCTCTTGGCTCGGTGATTCTTTTTTAGCAAGAAATCAGGAGCAAGAGACCAAAGTGGTTACGAATAACCGTCATTGGCAGGATTCAAGGGAGCAATTGACGAACTCTCCAAGCATTGAAAACTGGTATATGGGATAGAATTCGAAAATCAGAACTCTATGTCTCTCATCGACGGATCAGCCCTCTGTCATCCAACAAGCTCAATAACGTCTATATCGAGGAGTGCTCAATCTCAGGCATGTCGTAGTACAAACGAGGATACGAATTCCGACATTGTACAGGCATATTTTGGTGGCTGGATACTGGTGTGGTGTTCCGGAGGCTCCGGCAACGGGTGGAGAATGGATCAAGTCTTCCGGACACCTAGCAGTAGGCTGTGGCCAAATTCTGCATCCGTCATCCAATGAATTGACTACGGTTGGTCGATATGGGAACAAGTGTAAGTTCGCTCATGAATTCACGATTTCAAGAACTTCACGAGTCTATAACGTATTGAGCCGTGGAGATGACATCCTTTTCACGGTAGAATTTCTGCTGGCTGGTATGAAGCGTGGCGTGCATGGTCTTCATCTGCAGACACTAGTATCTAGGATCCATCTGTTGATCCTTCTGTTCCTGGATGAGGGATTAATTTCGTGGGCGTTGATCATGTTGTCCGTTTTCACATGAATGGTCGGGCAGGTTTCAAATATGTATTGCCAAGTGACTAGCGCGTCTACTACTGCGAGTAGTTCCCGTTCATTGGCGGAGTAGTTGCGTTCCGCGGGATTTAGTGCGCGTGACCAGACCGCTATGACGCGTCCATCCTGGTAGGCGATAGCGCCGATGGCAAAAAGCGAAGCGTCTGTGACAAGTGTCATGTCTTCATTCGGTCGGTGTCTGTTTGTTGAGACAATGTGGGTCATGGCGTTCTTTAGCTCCAGGAAGGCCCGGTTTTGTTGAGCAGTCCATCTCCAACTTTTTCCTGTTGAGCTGTACAACGGCTGCGCTATGTGCGCGTACCTAGGTATGTTATCCCTGAACATAAGCGTCTGGCCCAAAAACGTCCGGAGGGAGGTTTGATTGGTGGGCGTTGGCCAGCTCGCGATTGCCTCGGTTTTGCCAATTGGTGTGCACGTTCCATGTCTGTAATGGAAACCACAATAGTCTACTTCCAAGCTAGTAGGGGTGGATTTTTCATCGTTGACCAGGATCTGATGGTCACGGAGGATCTGTCGAACCTTGCTTTCAAGGGCGGCGCATTTCCGCATAGTGGTGGCGTGGACTAGTATGTCGTCGATGTGGACAGTGACTGACTCTCCAATTACAGGCGAGAGTACGTTTTCCATGTATCGTTGGAATTCTCCGGGTGCGTTCTTAAGTCCGAATGGAAGGACGTTAAATTCAAATACACCCCATGGGAGGCGGAAGGCTGTCTTCCATCTATCATCAGGTGCGATCTGCAGGTGATAATCTTAAAGCTACTATAGGGTCACGGGTTTAACTCTCGGTCTAGTTAACCGTTATTGAATTTCGTACGATTCCGTTTAGCTAGCCACGTTACGTGTACTTTATATATATAACGGATAATATAGTAGTAACGTTACTACGGTAAGTTAGCGTGTCTAGTACTAGAGGCGGTATTACGAGTATTAGTTATATGTATATATGGTTTATACTAGGCCCGTTACGGCTAGTTTAGTTTATCTTTCGTAAGGTAGTATGCCCATAACACGTAAGGACACGCGCCTTTAAAAAGGGGGATAATATTAGGCACGTAAGGAGCACGTGGCCTGCTAGTTAATTATATATGTGTGTAGTAGTCGTATATAAGTAGTGTGCTCTACCCTTGAAGTAGTAGCTTCAAGATTCGGTCCTTTTAGTGTAGTTGGTTAGTGCGTGGAGCCCGCCTTCTTACACTTAGTCTAGTTCGAACTATACTAGACCTAACCTTAATATAAGACTAGACCTTATTAACGTTAATAAGTTAATCCGTTAGAATTACCTAACGTTAACTATACCTTATAATAATATATATACTAGACTATACGAAGAGAGGTAATAATAGATTTAACTTAAGTAATAACTACGTAAACTTAATGAAGCTTAAGGACGTACTACGAGACTTAAAGCTATATTACACGCTTTAGTTCTAGTAATAACTAATCTATATTTATATAGACCTATACTAACTAAAATAATCTATCCTAGTCTACTACTATCCTAATTACCCTAATCTAAGAAACCACCTTACTTTAATAGTAAAAGTAGAAAGAGTTTCTATATATAGGCTTACTAATATAGCTGATTCTTCTATCTATTCACGAACGATAGTAATAAAATTAGATTCGCCTAGAACTACCTTAACCCGACGCCTTTAGAATGTTAGATAGTATACTAAATCGAATATTCTAAGGATATCTATAACTAGGATATGTTTACCGAATTTCTCCTCTAATATTTTAGCGATAGGGCTAAATAACGCGACTAGGCCTAGGGCTATATCTTTAAGACTCGATAATAAGATAATTAGTTACTATTATAACTTCTTAAATACCTTCGGCCCCTCTAGAGAGAAGCCGAAGAAGATTATATAATTTAATAGTATAACAACTTTAAACGGTCTCTTGCTCTAAATATAAAGGACCGTCTTAATCTTATAATAATAATCTCTATAGACCTCTAAGCTCTTATAAACCTCGCGGAGCGATACTAGTATATAATAAATAATTAACGCCGCGCTAGTATATAACTATCTCTAATGATCTAATCTAACGTAAAATTATCTAACTAAAACCAATTTAGTAATAGATCTCACGGGACGTTATAAGGCTACTACTATACCTTAAATTTAAAACTATACGGATTATATCGTGGATCTCTCTATTAATTAATATATTAAGATATAAGTACCGACTCGTATAAATGACCTAAAGTTACTTACTATACCTATAGTAGAATAGGCTATATAGTATCTAAGTACCGTTTAGGGAAGCTACCGAGTGCTAATATAACTAACTAACTAGTTATATACTATAAGTGCTAGTAGCTAGGATACATCGCGCCTAACTACCTAGTATAGAATATAAAAAACTAATAGCCTATGAGAAACCCTCGCGACTTATAGACGCGACTATAATAGAGAGGTAATCCGCTAAATAATATATTAAACTATAGGCTAGACCTATCGAGGTCCCTTATAGATAATATTAGACTATAATACTTAATAGTAGATCGGCTACTAACGTTATATTAATCTAATAAGCACGAGAACTTAACGCTAATATCTAAGCTCTAATAGATACTATATTCTATAGTATCGACGGTTCTATTAAGTTATACGGTATCTATACTATTAAATACGGTATCTAGGATAGCGGAGGGAAATAGAAACTCTACTACTTAACCTTTATCGTGGTAGATAGTCCCTTTAATATAATCCTAGGTATACTATAGCTTAAGAAATATAACCTAAAACTAGACTTCCTTAAGAAGATAGCTAGCTAGCGTATAAACCCCCCTTAATAGAAACTAGTATAGCTTATCGACGACGAATAATTCTAGAAAGATTATAAGAAGACAATCTCTACTATCTATATACTCTTACTTATATAAAATAGTAAGCTTAGTATTAAAGTAGACAAAAACCTACTATATTAGTATAAAATATACTAATATATCGTGTTAGCAATTGATTTCTCTAAACTACCTTAATACTAATCTACCGACCTTACTATTAATCTCGAAGACGGCTAGTAACCTCTATATAGACCTATCTACCCTCTTTTAGAACCTAAGTTATAAGCCCTTCGAGAATATATTAAAAAGAACCTTACGCGAGAATAGATTAGACCTAGTATATCTCTAGCCGGAGCTCTAATTCTCTTTATAAAGAAGAAGGATAGAAGCCTCTATCTATATATTAACTACTATAGTCTAAATAATATCACGCGAAAGAATCGTTATCTACTACCTCTTATCTCTAAGTCTATTAATAGACTAGAACGTATAAAGATCTTTACTAAGCTTAATCTATATAACGTCTACTATCGCCTTTATATTAAGGAAGGCGACGAATAGAAAACGGCTTTTAGAACCCGTTATAGATACTTTAAGTATACTATGGTCCCTTTTAGACTAACTAACGCGCTAGGCACCTTCTAAGCGTATATTAATAACGCGCTAGTAGGCCTACTTAATATAACATATATCGTGTACCTAGATAATATCCTTATCTTCTTAGATAATAAGGAGGAGTATATCTAGCACGTACGTATAGTTCTAGATAGACTAGAAAAGTATAAGCTATATATTAAGCTATCTAAATGCGAGTTCCATTAGAACTATATTAACTTTCTTAGCTTCGTTATTACTAATTAAGGTATAACCATAGAGAGAGATAGAGTTACTACTATTATAGACTAGCCTAAACTAAAATCCGTTTAAGATATACGTGTCTTTATTAGCTTCGCTAACTACTACCGAAAATTTATTAAATACTTCTCCCGTTTAGCCGCACTACTTAATACGCGTACTACTACTACTACTAACTCGTCTATTACGGTCTATAGTAGATAGAAATAGTATAATATTAAATTATAACCTATTAAATTAACTAAGGTCGAAAGAATATCCTTTAAGAAGATTAAAGAAGCATTTATAACCGCTCTATTACTAGTATACTTCGATCTAACTAAACCTATTTACGTTAAAACTAATATATTAGGATTTATAATCTTGGGTATACTCTTCTAGCCTAGACTAATAGAGTCTAAAAAGGTCTAATAGTATCTAGTTACGTTCTTCTTACGTAAGATAGCTAATATTAAGACTAGATATATTATTTATAACTAAGAGCTACTAGTAATAGTAGAGTCATTTAAGTAGTGGCGATATTATCTTAAAGGTACTATATATAATGTTAAGTTACTAACTAATTACTATAACTTAATAGAGTTTATAAGTACGACGGTTTTAAATCGTCGATAGGTTTAATAGACTAAGTAGCTTATAAATTTCTACTTTATAATCTACTATTAACCTAGAAGTATAAACCTAGCTAATAGAATATTAAGAAGACCTAACTATAAAGAAGGTGCCTAGGATTATAGTAGCTATAGGGTCCTAGAGTAGCTATAGGCCTAACTCTTAAGGACGAGGTTAGATAATAAGTTATCTAACGATTAGTAAGATACTAACACCGATAATAGTAATTAAATTTATAAGACCGAAGCCGGTGACTAAAGATACGGTACTAAAGTCTCTAGCGAGCCATTTATCGGCGCTATTAGAGAGGGCGATAGTACCTAGCGTATATATTAAGTAGACCTTACCTAGTTAATTATAGATCTATAAAAGATAGACCCGATAGTTTTAAAGTTATATAAAATATAGTAAGATAGGTTATTATAGACTAAAGTAGACTATAAGTAGACCTTTATAGACGGCTTACTCTACTATAATAGAAAGTACTATATACTAATAGATAATATATAATTTACTATAGTTAGCCGATACTATAACGCTAACCTAGTAGGATATTTCGGGTATATATATACCCTAAGCTCGATTCGTTAGTACTATTTTTAGAAAGATATACCTAAGTACGTCGAAGAATGGATAGCTACTTATCCGATTTATCAAAGAATAAAGGCACCTAGGCATAAGCTATATAGGAACTTATAGTCTCTACTAGTCCCCCTCTTTATATAGAAAGATATTACTATAGATTTTATAGTTAACTTACCCCTAAGCGAGATACTTAGGATAAGTTATAATTTAATTTATAAGAATAGGGTTATTGGATAGTAGTGTAGTTAGATGGAATAATAGGGTATATTCTATTATAGAACGAATTACTACCGAACCCTTTCGGTAGGAATCTAAGAGTATATATATAAAGAGACGCCGATCTATCTAGTACGTAACTATTTACCGCCCTTTACGTTACCTCCTAACCCTATTAGCTAAGGTATATATAGATTAGGTTCTACCTAAGGCTAAGTCCTAATAATTATCCCTTCCCTCTAGGAAGCTACTCTTAGCGACCTAGATTATTATCTATCTCTATATCCCTATTCTAAGTCTTATAAGACCTTAGTTATTCTCTACGCTTCGTCTTAGATACTTACCGATATTTACCGATCTAAGATTTATATAAGCGTTTTTCTAATAAACTAGATTTTATCTATCTTAACTTCTTATATAGGT